TAAACTTCATCTCTCATACTTTGGACATATTGTCAGGAGGAACCAGTTGCTGAAGAAGGATATCATAATTGGTAGGGTTCAAGGTCAGAGAAAAGGAGGAAGACCCCCAGTGAGATGGATTTGCCAAGTGGCAGCATCAATGGGCTTAAGAGTGACAACAATAGTGAGGTTTGCCCAGGATCCGGCAGTGTTTCGTTCTGCTGTGCATAAAGTTGCTCTGAGTCGGTAACAACTCAATGGCACCTAACAACAACAACAACAACATTGGACTGCCAGAAGAACAGAAAAATCTGTGTTGGAAGAAGAACATCCAGAAGGTTACTTAGAAGCAAGGATGATGAGACTACATCTATCATACTTTGGACCTATTATCAGGTGGGTCCAGTCATTATAAAAGGACCTTGTAATGCTTGGTAAAATGGGAGGTCAGCAAAGCAGAGTAAGACCTCCAATGAGGTGGAATGGCACAGTGACAACAGCAATAGGCTAAAGCAAAGCAACAATTGTGAGGATGGTGGAGAACCAGACAGTGTTTCATTCTCTTGTTAATTGGGTTGTTATGAGTCTGAGGAAACTCAACCACACCTAATAACAACTGTCACTCATTTACTTCATACTCTATACATCATCCTTTCTAACAAAATTATGAGACAACTGTGTACATTAGAATGGAATTAGCCAAAAGTCTTAGGGAACTTTGAAAGAGATACAATCATACTCTCCTAAAACATACTCAGTGTACAAGTTTGGTATATGCGTGGGGGAACAGAGCTAAACACCAAGCTGCTAACCATCTTCAACTTCAATAGCCAACCCATAGCAGAATTTACTGTCTTGGAAATCCTATGGAGTACTCTGTCCTATAGGTCTGCTGTGAGTTGGAATCAACAACATTGGGGTTTTGGATTGTTTCTACCTCTTATCAGTGTAGAAATAGAGTGGACTGCCACTCAATTTCATCTTTCCTTTCTTTGGTCTGTTTTCTTATATTACACAGAATCGTAATTAGGAAATTGTTTCCAAGGAAAACTAAAATCAAGAGTTTCTTATGTGATTGTAGGCATATTTGCCAGATATACAGGAGAGAATCAGTGGGAAAAAGTGAGACATGTGTTATGTTCTAACCAACTGTGTGGCCAAGAATATTTGGAGATCCTTGGGTTATTTAGAATAAATGAAGGCAAATTTCAAGGATAGTATGTATATCAAGAAGTCATCTGTCATAGAAAGCTTGTAAGTCTGTCTTCTGCCTATAACTGATTGGAATACTTAAAATGTGGCTACAACATGCCTAGTAATGGAGAATTATTGAGGAGACTCTGCATTGCATAAGACCATAGGTGGAATCCTGAACCCCATCTATAATCTTCTGAGGTGGGAAATTTCCACTTGAAAGGAAAAGCAGACCAGCCTGGAGCAGCTAGAAGAACAGAAGATACTTCTTGAAAGAAAGACTGACAGGAAAAATACAAAACAATAACAGCAGTCCGGCTGACTTGTACTAGAATAAGCAAGTTGCCCACCCAGGAGACATCAAGGCAAGTGTTTGGGTTCTCTCAAGGAAAACCCCCTTCCAAGACTAAGACTAACTGGGACTACATGAGAAGTTACATGCTCTAACTGATGGCCACATTGGTCACCGATAAGGGGAAGTGAGAAAAAAACAACAATGAAGCTGCAAGCTAAGGCCAACCACATTCAATAGACTCCTGTGAACCCAGGTGGAGACCTGATTGGTGAGAAGTTTGACAAGACCTGGGGACTCCTGGAACCAGAGTCAGTGACATAGCCACAGAGGACTAGAGTGGAAAATGAAGCATCCAGCAGATAAGACAAGAGGGTATATGCACAAGAACACCCTCACTTGCAGTTAATACCCGTTTGACCTGGCTTCAATGACTGGATGATCACAGCTCAACTAGAAGAAGAGAAGAAAGAAGAGGAAAAAAAGAGTAACCTGATACAATTTGAGGAATTTGACCTACACCTACGCATGCAGTAGCTAAAAAGAGGGAACAAATCTTTATAGTGAGGATCATTCCCACCCCCTCAATACACAGGGTAGACAGGGATGGGCAACTTGGACACTGGCTACCCAAAATGGTGGGCTACAAAGGCAAGAAGTTACTGGCTTACAAGCTTTCAAGAGGGAACTTAGATCCAGATGTCATGGAGGAAGGTAGAATCTCCACTGAGTAGTATCAAATCTGCCTGGTCAGGACTGATGAAAGGAGATTGGGTTAGCACTCACTGTGCTACAATAGTGAATAATTACTATCAGGATTTAATGTGAAAGTTGGAAATGTAAAGGTAGACGTTTTGTAGAAAAAGGAGGGGAGTGGTTGACTTTGCAGTGCAAGAGCAGCGGTCCCTGGGACCATCAAGGGACAAGAGTGGAGTGTGGGACCCTATCCAGAGAAGCAGTGACACCAGAGATGGAGGCAAAGATGATCACATGAATAGATGGAGTGGCTGGGGACTTTAGACCCAGAGAAGGAGAGGGGCTGTGTGCTGACGACCAGGGGCCAGGCTTGTGGGGTGTATCCTTTGGTTGGTTAATGATGCATAGAGGGGATTGAAACCATGGCAATGAAATGATATACGGTAGGATGAATGTAAAGCTAATGTTCTCCCATGTAAACTATCACATAATTCACAGTGAAACATTAAAATAAAAATAAAAAGAAGACATGTGTCTACACTTTGTTAAATAAGTACAGATCTAGCAGACACAGTGTCTTCAATTCATAATTATATGAAAGCATTTGCTGTCTCTGGATTGTAGAAAATGCATCATGCTCATGAAACCAATCACTTCAGTTGAGTCTTCTTGATTCTGCTCCTTCATGATAATAGAAGAGGTATCAACATCCTTAATTCGTCTAATTTTCACTGATGTTCTGGGAATCACCCCCAATATTAGAAGGACATGCCAGCATTTCATTTCACAATTTAATAATATTTTTGCTTACAAAATTTCTGTTCAAAACAACTAACAGGATTCTACTCAAATAAAATAAACCAGTGAGATCTAATATTACAAGCCAGAGCTGATCACAATAAATAGACTCCAAATTAGAAATCTGAAAATTGATATTTAAAGTTTTGGAATCAAAGGCAATAATCATGCTCTTCTAATTTTATGCTGGTACTCCATGTTTTGGAATGGAATATCTGTTTCATAGTGAATTATCTGCTGTCAACCTGTTTTTTAAAAAAAAATTTTGCAGAAATACACAAGAAACAATTACTTATACCTTGCAAAAATAAAGGAGATTAGATTATCAAAAAATGCAGTAATGAGTATACGAAAGTATGATTTAGGTTTTCATTACTTTGATTTCTGTTGTTGTTGTTAAGTGCCATCGAGTTGGTTCCAACCCATTGCAACCCTGTATAGGGTTTCCGAGGAGCAGCTGGTGAGCTTGAACCACTGAACTTGCAGTTCAAATGACTTTGCAGTCTGGCACATTCACCCACAGCACCACACCATGAGTAAATCTCTAGTCTTGAGAAAAAATAATTTTGTTTTGTAGAAAATATTACTCAGTTGAAGAGTTTTCTTAGGCCATGCTTTATGTCCTTATTTCTAAGACTGTAGATAAAGGGGTTCAACATGGGAGTGACCACAGTGTACATCACTGAGGCTATTGCACTGCCCTTGGTGTTTGGGGTAGCAGCAGAACTAAGATAAACTCCTAGAGCTGTACCATAGAACAAGGAAATGACTGAGAGGTGAGACCCACAAGTGGAAAAGGCTTTAGACTTGCCCCCTGCTGATGAAATTCTCAAAATGGAGGACAAAATCTTACTGTAAGAAAAAAGGATTCCAGTAAGTGTAATAATACCCACAATACCAATCGCAAAATACATCACTAAGTTATTGAGAAAGATGTCAGAACAGGCAAGCTGGACTACCTGATTAAGTTCACAGAAAAAGTGGGAGATTTCCAACTCTGTACAAAAGGACAGTCGCAAAACCATTAAGCTATGCAATAGAGAGTAGAGAACACTCAGTAACCAGGATGCCAAAAGCATTAGGCCACAGAACATGGGATTCATGATAACCGTGTAGTGCAGTGGGTGACAGATGGCCACAAACCGGTCATAGGCCATCACTGTCAAGAGGAAATCATCTAATGCTCCAAAAAGAATGAAAAAATACATCTGAGTGATGCACTCTTTATAGGTCATAACTTTATTCTGCATCTTCATGTTCAACAGCATCTTTGGAACAGTGGTGGAGGTGAAGCAAATGTCTGCAAAAGAGAGGTTGGAGAGGAAGAAGTACATGGGTGTGTGGAGGTGGGAGTCTGTGATGATGGCCAGGATGATGAGTAAATTTCCAGTGAAGGTGACTAGGTACATGGACAGGAACAGTCCAAAGAGGAGTGGCTGTAACTCTGCCTCTTCTGAGAGCCCCAAAAGGATGAATTCCAAAATATGTGATTGGTTCCTTGGTTCCATGTAGCTGGCAAATCTAGTGGAAAAGAGCAATACAAGTTTAACCATATGCAATCACCAAAAAATTAACAGATGTTCTGTTGTTTACATTTTGTAGTAGTAGTTTTGTATAGTCAAGTCAGTTCTGACTCATAATGAACCTGTATGTTTCCAAAAGTGACTGGTGGTTTTTAACTGTTACTTTGTGGGTATCACTTCATTGCTTATCCTACAACACCACCATGGGAATCTTTATATTTTAAACTTGTTTAGTTAATTAATTCTATATAATGCTAGCGGCTCCTTGGAAACCCTACACAGGGTTGCTCTGGGTTGGGATCGACTCAATGGCACTTAATAACAACAACATGGCCTATAGATCTAGTGCCCTCTAGCTGATCTAGTGCCATTTAGTGATTTATTTTCTTCCTGATGCTGAAAGTGACTAGATTTCCTTATCTGTAACCCCAACATTTTGCTAAGGAAATATGTTTCTCTATAAATTCCTTGAGACTTTGTTTAGCTCATTCAACAAACATTTTATACCAAGTGTTCTTGACCCCACTTGTATGTCAGTTTGTCAAACTTTGGTAACTTACATACTTCTATGATGTTGGAAGCTATGCCACTGATGTTTTAAATAACAGCGAGGTTATTCATGATGGCAGGTTTCAGCTCAGCCTCCACACTAAGAGCGTACTAGAAAGTAGGAGGAGATGGACCACTTTTGAAAATTTTGTTGTTGGTGTGTGCTGTTGAGGTGGTTCTGACTCATAATGACCCTGTATCAGGTTTCCAAGGAGCAACTGATGAATTTGAACCAACTACTTTGCCAATCAAAATAAGCCACTGAAAACCATATGAATAAAAGTGTAACATCGTCTGATTTAGTGACAGAAGTTATGACCCTCAGGTTGACAGATACTCAAAATACCACTGGAGAAGAACTACTGATGCAAATAAAAGACTACAGCCTTCAGTATGGATATAATTTATCATAAACACACACAAATCCTCACAACTGGATTATTAAGCAACATCATGATACATGCAGAAAAGATTGAAGTTTGTCAGGGTTTGTTATTACTTGGGTCCAGAATCTATACTCATGGAAGCAGCGATCAAGAAATCAAATAATAGATATTTCTGGAAAGTGGTGAAACAGGCCAACCCTACGCAGACGAGCTACATCAAAGATCTCAATCCACCAAACTCAATGCCATTTAGTTGTTTCTGAATCATAGCAACCCTGTATAGGCTTCTGAAACTGACAATATTTATGGGAACAGATAACCCCATTTTTTTCCTGTGGAGCAGCTGGTGAATTTGAATTGCCATTTGAGGTTAACAGTGTAGTGCTGATTCTACATGATGGACACTAGGGATCCTTACAACAAAGATATGAGACATCAGATGAAACACATGTTGCTGTTATTGCTGTTCCTGTTCTTACAAAGTACCATGAGATGATCCTGACTCATAGCAGCCCTATGTGAACAAAACAGAACACTGCTCAATCCTGGGCCAACCTCACAATCTTTTTTTTTTTTTTTAACCTCATAATCTTTTGCTAAGCCTAAA